TAGGACTCTTGACCCATAGAAAGTGAGAGATATTACGTGTGTGTTGTTTTAAGCTGCAAAATTGTGAGGTGGTTTATTACACAGCAGTAGATAACTAGTAACAAAGATTTTCTCCTTGACCAAATGCTAGCCAAACTCCTTGTAGTCCTTTCCTGATGAAGCCTCAACCTTGGCCTATGAAGACTTGAACAAACACTAACACAGTTTCTAACAATTCAAGGCTACATCCCTAGGTTGACACTAGCCTCCCTTAAAGCTCAAGGTTGCCAATAGAACTTACCGTCTGTTTTTAGCAAACACATGATGATAGGTCCCTGACCACCCTTTCTTAGAACATTTTAAAAAGGGCTTGAAATTGCAAATTCTTCCTCTGTCTCTTTGATATGTATATCTATCTCTCACAACTCAAGAGTGTCTTTGTCAAGAGGCTGAGTGCTGTTCCTTTGAAATATAAGGAAGAACAGGGCCTCTGTTTCCCAATATGTGGGCAGATAGAATCCTAACTTTGATCACTGTCAGTTACCAGAAACAGGTGGCCTTGTCACTTTATGCTGACCAAACCTTCATAATTTTTCACTTCTCTGATTCCGCTGAACCCTCAGCCGCCACTTTCTCTACTGTTTTATTTGGTCACCTTTATGTAAATCAAAGTTCAGTTCAGTTCATGCAGGATGTTTATCTCTATTGTATTAATTATTACAGATTAAAGTCTGTACTCACCACTTTAACTCGGATCCAGTTTTGTTTATCTTTGACATTAATACACAGAGAAAGATAAAATAAAAACAAGACAAAACAAAAACAAAGGGAACCCAGATCATAAAGTAAAAAAGAAAACAATGAGAATTCAAAAATAAACAGATATAATTGAGATAATATTAAACATATCTAGTTAAAATAATTTCAAATGAGATAGAATATATTATTTTAAAAGAATTAAATGGCACAAAGAGAATCACTTTATAATGGCAAACGACACAACTCACAATAAAATGATTACTACTATAAACCTTCATGTACTAAATAATATAGCATTAAAATACATAAAGAAAAATAAAAGGAAAAGTTAAGAGAAATGTTAGAAAACTTTAGTAAATCTCTTCTGATTCTTGAACAATCAAGAAAAAAAAATATATATGATACAGAGGATGTGAATAACATTATCAAAAATATTGACGTAATAAATATCTACTATGTAATAGATGCTCATTAAATTTTTATTTATTGTTTAAATCCTATGCCTGTAAGGAAAGCAATACTAATATTTTAGGTACTCATGTAACATTTACAAAAAGAAGTTTTAGGCACAGTATAAAAATTTAGACAATATATAATTTAAAAGAGATTGTTTAAGGAATTGGCTTATTGGGAATTTTCACTTATTAATTTCTGATTGTATTCATTTTTACCACACACTTGTTTGTTTTCAAAATACATAAACAAAATTTTAAGTGTTCAATCCCATTTTCTTTTTAGAATTTTCCTCAATATCCCTAAATCGTTCCATTCTCTTTCTTTCCTTTCTTATAGGAAAAACTGTACCACTTTCCTTCCAAGGGTAAACAATTAATAGTTCCTTCTCCTCTAGGATAATATTACATCAATTATACCTTCTGTTATGAATTTTTGCATTTCTGCTTCTAATGTCTTCTTCACTTCACCCTACACAGTTGTCTCTTGTCCCCAATCCTAAAGCATCTATTCACATTAAGGACTCAAATTCCTCCTGCCTCTCTCTGTTAAAATTCTCTATTTGACAAAATTTCTCCTTTCCAAAACCACAAATCCACCTCATCTATGTTTTAGACGTACAACTTATTGAATCATCATTGTTGATAGACCTTTGTGCGTAGAGTAATCGGCAACTTGTCCAATACTCAACTCCATCACGAAGGCTAAATCCTTCAGAAAGAACAAGGGTAGAGGGAGAGAGGACTGTGCACTCTGAACAAATCTGCCTGGCAGGAGAGAGGCATAAGCATTGGCCCAGGAACCGAGTCCTTTCCTCTCTAGGCCTTCAACATTCCATCGACAAGGATCAAGACTCCACCTGATTCTCAGACCCCTTCCCCTTCATGCACAGAATCGGGGAACCCAACCATTCACTCACACTCCCCACACTACGCACACCAGCCTCTCTGTCGTTTTAGTTCTTGACTTCTCTGGGATTGATTTCATCCTACCCTGTTTCCTTATTTATGTCAGTCACAAGAGGTCCTAGACTTCCAGGTCATTCCCAAAGCCTCATTCCCACAAGCCCCCATATCTACTTTAAGCTGTCACCATTTTTCATTCCTCCCCAACACCCTGTGCCCTCTGGAATTCTTGATTCATCTCCCACATCCAACCCATCCCCTTTTCTTGCTACCACTCTAGTTCAATCCACTGCTGTTTCTTGCCAGGATTGCTGCAATCGCTTCTTGCCTAGTCTGCTTCCGCCATGGCTCCCTAAAATCTATCCTTGACAGAGAAGCCAGGATAATCCAATCAAAGTATGCCTGACCATGTCATGCTTCTGCTCAAAACACTCCAGCAGCTGCCCATTTCATTCAGCGTGAAAGCCAAAGTCCTAACAATGCCTACAAGCCCTGCATCGCCTGTCCCCAGCCCAGGGTTTATCTTCAGTCTTCCTCCTACTCATCCTCCAACCCAGCCACACTGGCATCCTTGCTGATTCTCCTCTCAGAAAACTCACAAGGCCATTATCTGACGAACTCCAGATATTTCCTTGAATGTCGCCTTCTCAATGAAGTTTACCCTGATCATGACGTCTTCCATTTTAACCCACACCCTGTCCTGCACTGCCAACTCCCTGTATCTTGCTTTTATTTTTCTCACTTTCTAATATATTATAGAATTCACTTATTTAGTTCATGTTGATTATTTTTCATCTGCCTCCCCACACTCACACAGAATATTATCTCCAGAAGGGCAATACACTTTTTCTGTTTTATATGTTGATGTATGTCAAGTTGCTAGAACAAGCAGGCACTCAAGAGATGTTCATTGACTAAATGAATAAATGATTCTCAACCTTGTCAAACTTAAGATTCCCTTTCATAACAAATATGGGCTAATATCCCCTTTACCACAGTGAAGTAAAAGCCATAAGCTACCTACACATGCAATTTTTTTTATTTTTTGAGTTGGAGTCTCACTCTGTTGCCCAGACTGGAGTGCAGTGGTATGCTCCTGGCCACCGCAGCCTCGACCTGCTGGGCTCCGGTGATCCTTCCGCCTCAGCCT